TATTCATAATTTTCTGATGATATCCGGTGTATCTGAAACTTTCTGATGAAATAATCTTAATAATATTCCTCAATCTCCAACTTCTAACTGAAACTTGATGTGACTCACACTATAGAATGAAAAAATTATTGAATTTTATCCAAAAACTGCGTTTAAATGATATTCATGTTTAACCCATTAATTATCATAACATATTCAATAATATAAAAAAATATTTCTGAATGCAATATCCATCCCAAACAGCAAAGTGTCTGGGACTCTATTATTTCAACGCGGTTTGACTGCTTGTTTGAAACCTTCCTCTAAGAGAATTATTATCAACTTGTATCAGCTCCACCTCGTGAACGAAGGGATGAAACATACCATGTACCAATACTCTTTTCTGCTTTGGAACTGCCGGACTATTCTATTTCTTCCAGGTTTCCTAAAAATATGTAAGCGTATATTGCATTTCCCTCTCACTTCGTTAAAAACTTAACCATCACCCCTCGTACAGAAGTGGCTCAACGACACTATTTGAATATTCATACAGTTATTGAGTCCTCTAAGATTTTGTTACGATTTAACTTTCTTGGTCACTGGAACTCTCTTCTCGTAGAAGAGCAGTATTAAAGTGTATCATAACCTTAGTAGAGATCAGTGAGGTCTCCTTCGCATAATAAGGAGGCCAACATATTTCAGATTGATTTGTATTACTTTATCAAAGAAATCACTCGTAGAGCTGGTCCTCTTTCTTCTTCGTATCCATGAACCCTCTGGATGGCTGGAATTTTGCTTGTGAAGATTCGAAATCATAACCTGATAAAGCACTCAATTGTAGAAATGAATATTCGAAAATATTTTTCATTATATATTTTTGAGATCACTCTGTTCGATCAATAATGTTCCTATGGTAACACACTCTCAAAGATATTCGAGTATATCGGTAGTGATTGAATATTGAAATTGTTTTGAAATTAAAGCAAACAATTATTATCGTCATCATATTATTTTGTTATCTTTATTGATACCCACTGATTTTCTAAGGATAAGTAATATTGTACTTTATTACCTAATTAACCGAAAGAAAATATTTTAGAATAAGTTCATATACTGATTAGACATTGAAATGTTTCCGTGTACTTATGGAATGCACAGAACATTAGAATGAACTGTATATAACTCCCAACATATTTATTCCTGGAGAAACTTACCCAATTTCACAATTCCACTACAAACACAAGCAAATAGTCAATAGCAAAAACAGTGATAGAAAAAGCAAATTCGCTTATTATCCGGATCCCAATGTTGGGTATTACTTTTCGAAAGTGTAATATCAAACTAAGTAATATTAAACCAAGTGCTATCCACCTTTCTCAAAGACATTACCTTACACAGCCTTCGACAGTTCTCTCTCAGATACCTCTATTATCAACGCTGGTGTTCCCCGCGGATCCATATTCTCTCTATCTCGTTTTCTATTATACATCAGCAACTTATTGGAAAAGGCCGTAACACATCATCAACATGTAGTGTTGCTGCCAAGACAGATTCTCATCTTGTCGTGTCTCGGATGAAACAAGAGGATATTTTTCTGTTGAGAAATCGTATCTCGGCAAGGCAAAGAACTGGGTCATCTTGGTCAGAACGAGATAAGATAAAATAGTCCTAAAAATATACCTCTTTCAATTTAAAAATAGTTCTATCTCGACCAATCAACTATAGACCAGTCGCTTTTCTCTCAGTGATATCAAAAATCATATAACAAGCCGTAAACCTCCATATTCTGAATATTTGGAAGGCTTTGACGTCTTGAGCGATCATCAATATTGCTTTCGAAAACAAGGATCAACAGGCGACCTTATCACCCATATTTGGAATAACGCAATCGAGAAACATGAAGAGTTCAGAGCTGTTGCGCTTGATATTTCTAAGGCCTTTGACCGTGTGTGGCATGAGGGTTTGCTGACCAAACTTTGATACTATAGCTTGCCCGATCATTTTTGTGTATGGCTCTACAGCTTCCTGAAAGAATGTTTCCTACAAGTGCCCGTCAATTTATATCGAATATTTTTACCATCAACGTTGGTGGTCCCCAGAAATGCATATTGCCTTCAACCCTCTATTGTATATCATAGAATTATTGGAAAAAACTAAGAATCCAATTTATTGCNATAAATGCAATTGTATCACAATTCAATTTACACATACACATATTAATGTGGAATAAAACAAGACTATATGTATAATAGTAATAATAATAATGATAAAAACGTGATCGTTAATACATAATATTGTTAATTTTTTCTTGGCAGAACACTGAGAATATTTACAATTTGTCATCATAATATTCCTGCAGGCTATAATAAGCTTTCATGAGCAGTATATTTTTGACCGACTCCCTGAAACGTCTCTGCTCTATTATATCCCTAACTACCTGTGGTAAATGGTTGAACATTTTTTCCCTTCGTACATGTAAGAGTGTTTTGTTAGAGTCAATCTTGGTATTAGCAGATGAATATTATTACTACTGTTCTGTCTTGTGTTGTGGATTCTATGTGTATCTGGAGAATCAGTGTTATATCTCTTATGAGTCAGGCAAACAACTTCGAGAATGAAGATGCTGAATAGAGTGAGGATTCGGTATTTAACGAAAATTTTTCTACAACTATCCCTATGGTTTGCCCCACATGAAAACCGCAAAGATCTCTTTTGCAACACGAAGACCTGATTCAATAGTTGTTTACTACAGAATCCTCAAAATGCAATGCCATACCTTAGATGAGACTCTACTAGGGCAAAGTAAGTCGATCTAGCAGTGAATATATCCAGTTCATTGGAGATAATTCTGACAGCAAATGATCCTGAAGCCAATTTTGTGCATAAAGATGTGATATTTTTTTCAAATTTTAAGTTATTGTCAATATGCAGACCAAGAAATTTAGTGCAATTTATTTCTTCTATCTTCCTACCATCTAATAGCAAGTTGTCATAGCTTAATTTGAAGTTTACAATTTTGGTCTTGTCTACGTTGAAGGAGAGTAAATTAGAATCACGCCATTGTTGGACTTTCTACAAATATAATGATATCATTTGCTTTGAATTCTTAGTATTTTTTTCATGCCATAACAACATAACATAAATATATAATAATGTCAGGGCAGACAATTCAGCTTTCTGCCTCGATAAGTTTGTTGGAGGTTGAAATGGACACCAATACGTTTCGTCCCAATCATATTGCTGGAATTGCAAAGGCTGCTTCTCAAATGTTTGTAAAACTATTCCAAACCAAAAAACTATACACACCCCAGTAACGATGCTTCATAAAGCTCAGATGAGACCTCCTTTGGAGTATTGTTCTCATGTATGGAGCTCCGCCTCTAAGCATACCCTGAAGCTGGTGGTTTCCATCCAGAAAAGAGCTATTCTCCTGATTGGAGATGCGAACATCATTTGCAACCTTGATAGTCTGAAACATCGAAGAAAGGTTAGAGATTTGTCTTTCTTTTATAGATACTTTCACGGGAGGTTCAAGTAACTTGGTACATTTGAATCCACCAAAAGCGGTACATATCAAAAATATGCGACAGACTGTGGCTGCCCATCGTTTTGAGGTTCAACACCTCGGACTTCAGTGTTTGAGAACTTTTGGAGAACTGCGTTCATGTGGAATAAACTTCCTGATACTATGTACAGAATGAAAGAAGTCGAGAGAAAAGACAAACAAAATTTCTGTTTATATTATACTTGTTGTTTTAATTATGCTAGTAGTTTGTTTGTTTCTTCCTTAGTTTGAAGTGTTTCAATAGCACCTTATGTGCATTGAATAATGTAATGACCGTCTTTTAACCTTTCTACTGTTCTCCTCCTCAGTCTGAACATTTCAAACCTGTACAATCAGTGAAATACTGATAATAATCTATTCATACACGTCAATGGAATAGCAAATGCAGCAAATGATCTTTTACTCACTTATAGTATGAAATCGTGTCATCCACATGAATAGAGAAGCAAACAGCACCACGCAACTTTGATAGTCTGGAACAATATAGAAGCTTTGACGCAGACTACATTTTCAGAACTTCTTCATTTAAAGAACAGACGAAACTACTCGATACCGCTTTTCCAAATATATATAATCTACGAATAAAAGAATAGTTTTCTGCTCTATTGGAGCCACCCCAGAATTGGTACATAATTGTAATTCAATCATTTCTTTTCATCCACTACACCTTTAACAGTTTTCTTATTGTAGCCATATTCTGGTCAACATCAGTCTGGACTTGAGGGATTAATAAATATTCACTTCACTGTTGAACGTCATTTGGAGAATTGCGTTTGTGTGGAATGAACTTTCTGAGAACGTTTTTCTAAATGAATTCAATCTGTAAGTAAGGGCTGATTCAATTTTCAATTTTCATGAATGAAATTGTTGGATAGAGAATTGAAATAGCTATCAAACGAATAGTTGGTAGCGACCTCTGGGAGAAAAGTGATGCAACACTATTGTCATTTTTATCAGAACTGAAAATAATACCTTTTCACGTAAATTTTGACGGACCTTGTTATCTTCTCCCGTTTAAAAGGGTAACTATTTACGTCCGCACTATATACTGATCGAGTGGAAAGCAAAAGATTTTTTTCCAAAAAAGTGTAATTTTTTGAGGTTTTCTTTAAGATTGCCGAAAACTCAGAAAAGTGGGAATGGAGAAAACGGAAAATTTACGTTTCACTTCAACCATACCGTAAAACATAAAAAAGTCAGTACTACATCATTTTATGTTTTATCATTTTTTTTATGAATGCATTTTTTATGAATATAATAAAAATCAGTACAACACGAACGATGTGAATACTGTTCAGTTGAAAGCCGATTAAGCCGACGCGACAGCAAGATATTGGAAACCCCTCTCCAAGATGAGTGATTACCTTATCTCCAGTTCGAATTTGTTCCACAATGTAGTTGCGTTAACAATTCGAATTTGTTCATGTAATTAGTGACGTATTCAAGTGTAGTAGCATCCCAGTTAATATATAAATGACGAATAATATTTCATTGTATCAATTGTTTTGTTTCGTCGGTTAGGTTAGGTCGCTCACCAGCCTGTGGATCAGTATTTTTAATGTGTAACTAGGGTGAGTACTTGTGTTTGTAATCCAACTTCATGACATTGAAACTTTTCGATACATTTTGGAGTAGGTTTCAGTGCAAAACAAATTCAAATATTTTGTTGATTGAGTTTGGCAATGTTTTGTTCAGTTGATGAGGGTCGATACAAAATGGAAATTTTAAGCAAGAAAGTTCCAAATTATTCAATACTTATTAGTAGAGTTTTTAATTTTTAAGTGAAAAGTGAATTCGTTCGGAAATTAATTTAAATTTATTTTTATATCCATACCCGTAGATACATAATAAATAACATTATCTGTCATTAATTTAGGCAGCAGTAAGAAGTTCTTGTAGCTTTCTCACATGAAAATATTTTTCCTCCAGAACTGTTATACTTTTCGACGTGCGTTTTCCGACGTTAACTGTGGGTAAAGCTTTTTTGTTGGATGTTCATTTCATGAAGATAAGACCATTTGTTTGACTAATTATTTTGAAAAACGATTGAAATGATAACTGATTGACCTCTCAGTCATACTGGTTTTTAGTTTCAAATCATAATAATAGGGGAGCCCAAGCAGGGATTTCGGGATTTACTGAAGCGCGGCAGATTAATATACAGGGCGATACCTTGTACCCGGTTAAGTACCTCCACCAAATATGAGCCCCATATATAAGGCCGCCGTGAAGGATAAAGGATCAGATTAGTAAAAAAAAATTATCATCAGAAATTCTCGAGCGCGTCAGAT